TTTTCGATTGATTCGAACGATAGATTCTATTGTTGTTTGATACATAATATACGTACATATGTAAGGTAGTTATATACACAGCAGGCCCATCATCCAAGCGTCCCAACTCTCGGTGGTTACGAGTATCGTATCKTACTGTATTTTCTGTTTTTTCCTTCGAACGAAGATTCTTCCCAAAAATGAATCATCATCATCATCATCATCACCACCACCACCACCATCGTCACAACCGCCGCCTCAAAGAATCCTTCGCCGTCTTTCGCCCTTCCATCCAAAATGAAYGAACACGCAATTCGTTCACACCATATCGAATCGGAACCCGATTGACTGCAACGGAAAGGATGCACGGGAGGATRTCGGTGTCTGGTTGCAGCCTCCGCCGCAACTGCTGCTGCAAACCCAAGCGCAAACCCAAACGCAAAGCGGGCTTGGTTCGGTTTCGGCTTCCGCTTCGTTCGCCGCACCTCGCTGCGATGGTGGTGGCTGCCTGTGTTTTCGGCCTCCTGTTGGCAACCCGGGCGGTGTGCTGGTCTCCTCGTCCGGCCCTCGTTTCGGGCCATCGGGGCCGCACCCGCTCAASCGTCGACCCTGCCCGWRGGGGCAAGACGGACCCTTGGCCGCTCGCGGCAGCAGGCGCAGCGAGAAMRAGAACMASRASMACGAGAACGAGAGCCACGAGGCTCTACGGGGTGCTGTCGAGATCGGCCATACTCCGGCACAGCAAGCAACGCGGCAGCGGAAACCAGGCCCGTGCTCCGGCGAAACAAACCAGACCACGGGGGAAAACAGCCACACCCACAGCCACAGCCACAACCACGGCCAAAGCAAAAATCACCAGAAACTTTCTCCTCGACGCCACAGAGGAAGCGCTCTTTCGCCAGCAACGGGCGATGGACTCTCTGGAATCCGAGCGGGCAAAGCTSGTTGGGAGCTCGGACGGAAGCCGACCAGCGGAAGGAAAGACCCCCGGCGTCGATGCCAGGCAATCGGAGCTCTTTCGCCAGAAGGAAGACCTGGAAACCCTCCGGACCGAGCTGCAACGGCTTCCGGCCAAAGCCTCCCCCGAGACCGCGGAACAACTGGCCGCGATCGAATCGAGGTTTCGGAACATCGTCTCGCCGCCGCGGAGGGGCCACCGCACAACCACAACAAACACAACAACAACAACAACAACAACAACGACATCCAAACCAAAGCCTTCCGCCTGCCCGATCCTGGACCGCCCGAGGGACACCTGGAAGATCCAAACCTCGGCCTCCGCAAGGGCGTCCAGGCAGTTTGGCCGGCCCCGGGGATTCTCGGGCCTCGTCTGCTACTCGCCCCTGGGCGTTCCGATCCTGGTCTCCGACCGGTCTTTTTCGGCCGACGGAGACGCCTTCCTCCGGAGGATCGCCCAGGGGGCCGACCTCTGGTTCCAGGTCGAGGACTACGACGGATCCCTCGTCCTGCTGAGGACCTCCCTGGTAAGGGGGGCCAAGAACTCCGGGAAGTGCCTCCAGGCGGCGGCGGACCTGGCCGCGGCCCACAGTGTCTGGGGGAGGAAGGGGGGGTCGTCGGGGTTTCCGGTCCCCGACACGGTGCCGGTCGTGTACACCGATTCGAGGCACGTCGCTAAGCGGGGGAGCAAGGCCGGGAGGATGAGGAAGAGAAAGAGCTTCGGGCGGTTGATGGGCCGGCCGTCGGAGGCCKTGGAGGACGGTGATTGGGGAATGCAGAGRAGCCAATAACAAGCAGGCGGCTCGTTCGGTAAAGGACCGATTGGTTTCCGGACATTCCTCGGTTCGGACCTGCGAGGCGTGGCATTGTCTGCGTTGGCTATTGACACAGCAACGTGTATTTCACACAAAACAAGCTTTCACTAGCATTTATATATATATGTATATGTATGTATGTATGTATGTATGTATATATATATGTACCTCAAAACATGTGATCATCAGTTCATGAGCATATTCTCAGTGGCAAAATCATACCAGTCCCTTGCTGTGGCATGAGCCCCTCCTTTGTTCTTTCTGACCTCGCCATTGGAATTTTTAGTCGTCAGTCCTTTGCTGCAAAACTCATAGATCCGTTCATCATACTCAACGAATTCAATGATTTCTTCTTCGTAGAATTCATCAAGCTCGACAACGACGTCCATCAGCGCACTATCGGTCATGTTGTGYCTGTAATTCAGTTTAATGGCTCGAGCGCCAATCGAGTTCGGGATTACTACCTTTCCCTCTCGAGCATTCTTGCGGTGCTTTTCAATTTCATTGTCGAGATGTTCCTTCCAGCGATCAATGCGGCATCTACCATATCCCGCCGACCTCGCGGCAGATCTTAGCATGCACTCTTTGATCTTGTGTTTATTTGCTTCGTGAACGTTCTTYGCTGATTCCCACAGTTCGAGGTCTTGGTCAGAAATGCAACGGTAATTTCCAACATATTCCCACCCCAATACTCTCTGTTCACGTTTATGAGAAGGCTTGGTTAGTGATCTTTTCATAAAAAGTGGRAAAACAACATTCTTTTTCTTGAAGAGACCGGCCAACTCGTTCACTGCTGCTGTTGGTTGTCCTGCAAATTTTGGACCATTGGTGTGCCATAGTGTATCAAAGGCAACGTAGGCGAAGTCATTCATGTCGTACTCATCATCACCATTTTCGTTCTTCGTCGTACAATGTTTTGGTATGGGGTACCCTTCTCGAATCTTATCTCCATCAAACACTTTCTTGCATTTGTTTGTTGGCACCGGATAGCTATTTTGAAAAGCTCCACCTAATAGGCCTATTCCATTGAATCGATGCAGCAAAGGGAGATCTGCATACTTCTCGTATGCTTCATTCCTGGCTGCATTCAGTTTTTCTTCAGCTTCTTCTTTCTTTACTTCTGTTGAGGAAGAATGAGTAACATGCTCKCCCAGACTTTCCGTAGCATTTACAGTACTAACATTTGCAGCACCCTCATCTTCCTTTTTCACTTGATCTGGACTCGAACGTACCTGCTGAGGATTTGTAGCAAGAGGGATATCTTGTTCGTCATCAGACTGAAAATTGTTGACCTTTCCCTCGGCTTTACAAAGACAATCACTCGTAGCGCCCTCTTCMTTTGATTCTTTCTTGATTTTGTTAGACGACTTATATAGATCCGGATTCAGAATTGACTGTTGTAAGTCACTCTCATTATCACCTTTGCCATCTGAAGAGGTTTTTAGCTCAAGCTTTCTCTTCTTTGAAGATCGAGGGGTGACGATAACTGCTGTGGCGGCAACTGTATCATCGTCTTTCAGTTTTTTTGGACCCTGTACTAYTGGTACAACATTGATCTTCAGCTCATCGGCACCGTTGTTGTCCACAATTGAAGAATGGTCCGTCACTTCAATCCCTTTATGGTTTGAATCATAAGAAAGGTCAATCACCTCATTGTCTGGTCCACTGCAACAAATATTGATTACTTCTTTCTTTGAAGCAGARCAAGAGCTAGWAGTTTTACTCTGTCCCTTCCTTTCCCTTGTTGACGTCGTTATCATAGAATCCATAATCGCTGCTGGATTCCGTATCAATAGTAGCTGCTGGATTCAGAATCAATTGTTBTTCTTTGTCCTCGTCGTATTCTTTCTCAGTCTCGTCTCGCGTTCTTGCTTCTTGGCGTTCGCCTGTACYGATATTCGATTCCCGACGCTTGGTTCGGTATCAATTGTTTGCCGTATTTTTCTCGAGTCTCGCCTTGGCCGTGTTCTTCTTCTTGCTTGYTGTCGTGTCGTRTTTTTGCTTCTTATTGTTGGCGTTTGCCTTCCTTTGTACGGAGGAGCTGCTGATACGGAGGTGTTCAATTTGCGTCTTAACGTTGTGGTGTTGAATAATCAACTCCTTTGTTTGCTCCCGTGTTGACACTGTTGATGATAGTATCTTTCTATGCCGAAGCTCATCGAACTACTGGACTACAAGTATTAGTACGAGTACTACTGCGGGTATTTTTCTAATCATATCTTGTTTTTAGTGTTTTACTACCAGKAGTAGTACTAGTGTACGTGTAGAAAGATTTCCCTGTTCGTACGGTACCGTAGTATCCTTCCGACTTCCGCCGCTCATCCCGCTTTTTCAAGTCATGGGTCATATGAAACGAATCATGACCCCTGTTTCAAGTATTACGATACAGTAATTGGCTCGCTAACGCGAATACTTAGTAGTTTTTGCGGTGCAAGTGCCAGTAAGGTTTAAGAAGTTATGCTATGAAAATAATGTAGTAGTAGTAGTAGTAGTAGTAGTAGTAGTAGTAGTAGTAGTAGTAGTAGTAGTAGTAGTACTAGCTAGTAGTAGCTAGAAGCTATTCAATGAAAGCACTGTGGCTGTTTGTTGTTTCTGAAATAGGAATGGAAATCATTCATTTGTTGTTGTGTATGCTGGGTATTGTTTTTGTTGGTGTTGTTTTTTGTGAGGAGGAGCAGACGAAGAGGAGGTGCTGGTGATCTTACAAATACTAGACCACAATTGGAAGAACAAGAAGTTTTAACTCTTGTTGAAAAGCACAACATAAATTAAATTGCTTGTGTAAGACCAAGTTGAAACTAATATATTCCAAAGATCTTCCCTGTAATTTGTGAACAGTTCTTACATTGGCAATTTTAATTGGGGGGTATTGAGAAAATCGTTTTCCCTTATGACTTGATGAGTTTGATTGGTACTAATTCTTGATTCATATGATTCTTGCAGACACCAAAATGTCACCATTGCTGCTGTGTTTTGAGAAAATACAGTGATCCCTTTTTTGAGTCTCCTTCTTCAACAAGGATTACCTCCATCCATTCAACTCTCGCAGCATCTACACATTGAACATAAAATCCATCAATGTTGATAATTTCACAATCTTGGTGCCCATTTTTCAGTTTGACTGACTTGAATGTACACATGCTGGCTCCATTTGATTTTGACTTTTCAACATCTATGTTGCCATTGAACATGACAGATCTGTCAACATACAATTTACTAAGCATTGGATCAATCCCAGAGAGTCTCCTCCCACA